GTCTCTTCAATACCTATTGTTTCTCTTTTGTGTTTCCTTAACTCCTAGGAGCATACAACAAAGTAGACCCAGGACCCCCCTGTGCTAGGCTTTGCACAAAGGCTGAACAGAGGCCGTAGGTGATTACAGAGGGATGGTGACTAAAAGGTAGGTAAGAGACTATTTTGTTCAGTGGGTACATGGTGATGTCATAGAGAGATTGTAAGATGATGTCTGCAAGAAGACTTGTGAGATGGCTTTGTAGACCATTACAGTTATTCTGCCTTTCTCTTTTCCCTAACCTAAGGAAATTGAAGAAATGGAAATGGGTGGAATGCAAGAAAAAGAACCTGAAATTTTCTTCTCTTCTTGCCTCTTCTAAACTATGCTCAAAAAGGGAAACTATCTAAAAATGGGGATGTTTGTTCAAAGAAAAACTGGAAGGGGAACTGTAAGAGTAACGTGTTTGTAGGTGGGAGAGGTACTATTTCAGGATGCTGTTTTGGAGGCTCCACACAAAGGCTTACCATCAGTCTAAAAATGTCCTAGGAAAAAGGAAGCCTGTATAGCTAAATGACAAGGTATAGGAGACTGTTAAAAGCAAGATGACATCTTAAAAAAAGTCATGTCTGTGTTCAGAGAAGGAAATAGGACCAAAACATTCCCCTATCAGGCTAAACATAAAACTAATGAATGTTTTTCTCAATCAGACCAATAGCAGGAAGCCAGCTGTAGAGTCTGTGTGGCCTGTGTATAACGACATTATGAAATGAATGATCTGAGATAAAGCAATGGCAGAAAACTAAGTCATTCTTGTGTGCGTGCGCTCACCATGGAAAAGCATGGGGTGGTTCCTGTTTTGGAATCCTTCTTATGGGAGGCTTATGGGATTACCTTTCTCAGTTGGAAGCATTTGTAGGCAAGATTGTGGAACAAATTGCACGTTCTCAATTTAACAGGTCCAGATGTAGTTTAACTAGGTTTTTTTTAGGAATGGTAGAAGGAAATAGAACAGCTACAGACTGTGGCATGCAACTTCTTCCTTTAAAGTGTCTCAGCAGTTGAGTACTTGAAGATGTCTAATTTTATGCCATATTTCAGGGGTGTTCATGAGGAATCAGGGAGCATAGAAACCAATAGGTCTCTTGTTTGTGGATTAATTAAAAATTTGATTAGCATATGCATTTTAGGAAGGACATTGGATAATATGGGCGAGATACTGAGAAAGAATTGATTTCTGTGTATAAATGCCTGATTAAGAAGATATTTAAGAACTGGTTAATATTAGCCTTCAACTACTGGAATGATGCTTACAAAGATGATGAAGCCAACGTTCTTGGTTGTGTCAAACTATGTAACGGGAAGTTAACATACACAGGTTGCAAATTAAATATTCTGATTGGGCATTTTAGGAAAAGCTTTTTCACAAAGAGGGTAGTGCAGCGCTGAATAAAGTTACCTGGGGGTGGAGTGGGGGTGGCATCTCTCCCAGTGGGAGCTTTCAAGTCTTAGTTGGACAGTGCTACAGCTGACCTGATCTACTGTGGCTTTTACTGATTGGTCAGACTGGATGTCTCCCAGAGATCCCATCTAGCCAGCATATGGTGTGCTGTTCTGGTGTCCTCATCTCAAAACAAGTGGGGTAGAGCTGGAAAAGTTTCAGAGAAGGGCAACAAGAATGAAGAGGGGCAGCAGGATGCAGAAGATATCCATGGAGCATCATTCATACAGGAACAACTAACTAGATGAGAGTCTCCATACTGGAAAAGAGATAGTGGCCAGATGCTAAAGCTAGGTGTCTATAAAATTATAAAAGCTGTGAGGTGTGTGGATGGGAAATGAATACTCAGTGCCACTTAATTTTGTATTAGAAGAGATATGAGGTGAAACAGGCAGGGAACAGTTTTAAAGCTAGAAAAAGTAGTGGGGGTTTTTTTGCATTGTAAGTAATTCTGAAATTCCCTGTCACAGCATGCTATGTGTGCTTCATGGGTGTACAGAGCCGCTGAACAAAGTTGGATAAAGAGGTGGAAAAAAAAAAAAAGAGGAATTAAAAAAAAAGAAAGAAGTGATAAAGGCACTACCTCTAGGTAAGGAAGTTACTGAGCAGCAAACTGTGGAAAGTGTGCAGGGTTTTGGGGAGAGTGGAAGAGAATATTGTATATGACTGCGCTAGTTTCCACTCTTTCTTTAGACATCTGCTCTTGGCTGCTCCTGGAGACAGAGTAGTAGGTCAGGCTGAATGTTTTGCCTGAGCCAGTTTTGTCATTTCATTTGGGCTAAACAGCCAGCTTGACCCACCATGGTGGTTCTTACATGCTATTTTATAAACAGTAAGGTTGCAGGGTGCAGTCCCAGAAGAGAACTCTGTTGCTAAAAGTATTTTTAAAAATGCTAAGCTGTTATGTAATTTGAGGTCTCACACTGTGCTTGGAGACTTTTCCCTCATTGTAAGATAAATTCTTTTAATCTTATTTTGGCACTTGATAAATTACGGTTAAATTTGTTTTAATATTTTCAAGCTGTTTCATTGAGAGTTCAGTTTTTAGTCCAAAAATCTCAGGTTTTTGCTTACTGTGTTCTCTGTACAGTCTGTAATGCTTTTCACGTAGAAAGGAATTACCAGAACACCTTTTTTCAATATGTAAGTTCTAGTGACACCCGTTTTGTTGTAGAGCGAATATCCTTTGAGGGGAGAAATAAGCGAGGTGAAACAGCAAAGCCTAGAGAGAGTAGAAAGACAATAAGAAAAGAGTACTGATTTTGGAGATACTTCTGTGTTTGTGAATTTTTTTGAGAAGCAAAAGATTGGAGTTATATTATGGCATCAAAGGGGAAAGGCTAAAAGTGTGGCAGGGTTTCATAATGATAGCCATTGAAATGGCCAGAAGAGATAAGGCTACTGGAAGAAAGATGGTCATAGGAGAAGATTAGTGGAAAATAGGTAAATTTATCTGAAGGAATTGAATGAAAAGAGGTAAGTAAGCCAAGCTGAGAAACTACTGAGTAAAGTTCTGAAGAATTAACAGAATTTAAGGAGCTTAGAGAGGAGCAGATACTGGGAATGAAGGAAACAGTGTCTTTGGTTTTCCATCAGTTTATGCACCTGAGATGGATGGATCTGTGCAAGTATTAAAGAATATTCAAATTTCCTGAACCAGTATCTGTATTTCCTCTGAGAAGTTTTCCAAGGGGACTTGGAATCAAAAAACACAGGAGGGGAAAACAATGTTTTTTGCATTAGATTAGAGAGGTTAATTGCTCTTGGTAAAAATGAATTTTGTTAAAATAGTAGCAAAAATGAGACTAAAAAGCTGAAATGGAAACTCTAAGAATTTCTACGTAACATGGCCAAAACTTGCAAAGACACAAATGGTATGAATATTTCAAATAGTGATATACAGTCCTGATGAAAAAGTATTTTTCTTTCAGGAAGAGGGGATACAAGGGTGTTGTTTCAGATAAATGGAAAGGAATTGCAGAATAGGAGCGGTTACAAGGGAAAGAAGAGGTATGTAACATAGGTCATTACTAATTTAAAGTATTGCTTAGGTCAGCCATTTCCCTACGCACCTAATTCTTTGAGCTCATCCATTTGTGAAGAAAAGTCCTTCTTCCTGGCCCTTCTAACTCATCTGGTGTGTTCCTTGTGGCACTGTGTGTAGTGGTTGGAGGTTTCCCTTTGTTGGGGACTTGTGAAATTTTAACAAATTAAACATAACAATGAAAAGCTTATTAGTAGTAGTTGTTGTTCTTTGTTAAAAGGAACCTGCATTGCTTCAAAGCAGCAATAGCAATTTCAGAGTTGAAGGAGCCTCATTTTGTTTCAGACAATCTGCCTGGTATGTAACATAACCACAGACCACTGAGCTGCAAACAACTTTGTACTGAAGTGATGAATTGTGCTGTGCTTTAATCTGCATATGGGGTGAAGAAGGATCAGAGAGGGATGGATGAGGTCACTTGTCTAATGGAAAGACCCTTTGTTTCTTGCTACAGAAAATGAGACTCTTCCCATTAAAGCTAGTTAAATCTCTGAGATAAATGGCATCTAGAAGCAGGGTTTTAACACCTGGTGTGAAACTAAATGATCTTTGATTTATAATTTTATTTTATTTTTTTTTAGTGCTTAAGATTCTGTTAGCGTTAAGGTTCATCTTCTCCCATGCTGGCTCAACTGCCTCCTCCAGGTCACATTCCTTGCCACAGAGAAACTGCCTTTAAATATTCCAGATATCTCTCATTTGCCTGAAGTCTCTTGGTTCCTTTTTCTCATCTTGATTGAAAATGTCTGAAAAATTTATAGAAAAGGGCACTGTTTTGAGATCCATTAAGTTGACTCTGTTGATCCAGGTTTGGTGCATTTATAAATTTTTTTTTTCCCATGTGACACAGATTTTCATACTTGCAGTGTATGCACTAATGAATGAATAATCTATGTGCTCTGGAAGCCCTTTCTGCAACACCACTGAAGAAGTTTGAATTATTTTTCACTTGGCTTCAGATTGCATCTTTATAAAATATGGTGGAATCCGGTGCTGGAAAACATGCAAGATTGACAGCCCTGGAAATTGAAATCCCTGTTTATCCATGTACTAGCTAGCACAGCCTAGCTGTAGCAGACTCTCTATCTTGGCAGTACAACTCACGTTTAACCTGATGAGATGACCTTCAGTTATTTATTATTTACAGAGCACTGAAGGTTTGCAAAGATTTTTCATAGTGAGAGCAACATGTTTCAATTTGTGTTTTCAACATCTTTCTGTATGATGTGTTTATTACAGTATAAATACAGGTTTATGTCTTTAAAAAAACAGAGCTATGAATTCTGCACTGGATTTTTCCTGTGAAAGAGATGTGTTTATGTACAGTTATATAATTAGTTGTAGAAACTGATAAGGCTGTAGTGAAAAAAACCAGAATGGATCATGGTGACATTAGCAATATAGAATTTCTGCTAGATCAGTCTGCAACTTGTCCCATCAATGTCATGGTGAAGTGATTTGTAACAGAGGAAAGACTTGGCCAGGTATGAATGCAGGGGAATTTTTTCTTGTATCCAAACTGAGCTTTTGGGACCCTTAAGTGGCATGCAAGTTCCATTCTCTCTCTGGGATGAAGTACGCTAAGGTAGAGCACACACGTCATGTAGAAAATGTTATTACTCTTTAGTAAATTGAGAATCATTCACATTTTAAATCTGTCTTCTCAATTTCCTAACCCATTTCCTAACCCATTTCTTCTGCATTTCCTAACCCAACCATAAATTCCCAATTTTTAACTTGGCCAGATGCATACAACATGAGCAAGTTTCTTTGTTTAGTGTGTTTTTGTGTCCAGTCTCTTCTTTTTGCCCCTCTTTAGATCAAATTCTGCATTTCATTATTATACAGACTACCAGTGGAAAGGCCTTGCATCCTCAGCATTTTCCTTCTGGGTTCTTTATTTTGAATTCTAACAATCAATTCTCATATGCATGATACTTGTATCTAGTTGCACCACTGCTACATAAACTGACACTTTTCTGCTCTGATTTAATAGTTTTTCAACACCACACCCGCAGCTAAAGGGAAGGTTTTATTTGTAAGACCTTTTGTTGTACTTGTGTTTTTCTTTGTGTCTTTAACAGAGGCCATTTACAAGAGTTCTTTGTTTGTTTGGTTGGTTTTTTAGGGTTTTTTTAATGGTCATTTTCCTTAATATTCTTTCTACAGCTTTGTGCTTGGACTGTTGTTCTCGAAGTAGATTTAACAGCATGCCATTCTGTAGTAATATGCAAATGACATCAAAGCAGAGACTTGGTAAATAAAGGAGAAAAAATATAACTGCAAAAGGATTACAAAAAAAGGGGAAGGGATGGAGATTCTAACTTTGCAAGAGCATTTTTAGTACCACTGTCAGGCAGTGATACAAAAAAATAAAAACAAATACAGGAAAGGAAAGGTAGTGTTTTAGCATTTCCTTGGTGTTTAAATAAATACCCTCTCTCGCTGATGAAAGAAAGTTTTGGTTCTCAAAAAGGAGAGGAATAGGTCTACAGAGACTGGAAGGTGGGTGTATCAATATGCCTTGATTTGTAGGGAGTTAATGTATTCCTGTACTCTGAGCTCCATCCTTTCTTAGGGCATAGTGGAAGCTAGTGTTCATGCAGTGGGATTGCTGGTCACCTATTTTGGAACACATCAAGAATGAATGGGCTATTCCACAACCACTCTCAACATCTTGGGTACAGCTTTCCTAGCTTTCTTATTTACTCTCCTGTCGTGCATGCCATGACTCCACCACATAACCTACATGACGATGGGCACTGAGTGGTCCTGTCCTTATCTGTCAAGTTGCAGCCTCAGCTGCCAGTGTGAGGATGGTTTTAGAGGACTCTGTAAAGGAGCACCTCAGGATCTGTTGACTTTTAAAATTGAACTGGTCTCTTTGTTTCTCAAAGGGCAGCTCTCAAAGGGCAGGGGTACTCATAGTCAAGCAGAGACCTTGTCTTTTAACCCACCAATCTCCTCAGACATCAGTACATTCAGTGTAGTATACCAAACTTTTGTATCCTAAGGAAATGAGCAAAGAGTTTGGTCTGGCTTACCCTGAATGCATTGGTTGGCAGTTCTGCAGCTCAGGGTGAGCTAAAGGCATGGATGGGTTAATAAGTGCACCATCCTTCATGCTGCTGAGGAGTGGGATCTTGGGATACCTTATACCAAATTTTTGTACCCTGACTTAGCCAGCATTCAGCTTAGGACTGAGACACCTCTGTTTCTCTGTTTAAAAGGTATTGAGGGAAAGTGAGAAGGAAGCTGGGCTCCAGTGGAGGGAGAGTGGAAAGGGTGAGATCTGTGTGTAGCAGTAGATGCAGTGTGATCTAATGAGCACAGCTTCTCTCAGGCTTTACCCTTCTTATATACAGTAGCTGTGGTGGTCTTAAAAATGCGTCTGGTGGCTGGTTTCTCTTTGGGGGAGGAGATGATTTGAAGGAGAAAATGGTGCCAATCATGAGTGAGCATATGGATCTGGTTGTTGAGGCATGTTGTCATCAACTGATATTGGACTAAGCTTCAATAGAACTAACTGCTAGGAAGATCTGGATTGCTTGGGAGCTAGGGTCTTTGCTCAGGATGTGGTGTTGGAACACCACCATTGTAGGCATGATATGGGAGAAGATGAAGGGCCAGGCAAGCAAAGTGAAATGGAGGCTATCTATACAGGTCTACCTGTGGCAATGCCTTAGCTTACTGCCATGGGGTGTTGTCTAAATGGGCATGTGGTCCTGCCAGCAAAGTGTATGATGTTCAACTGTGGCATGTCAGTGTGTTGGTGGTTTGATTATTTGTTCATCCCAGGAGAGGGTGCCCTGCCTGTGCCATGTATGCATTTGGGTTTTTTTGAGGAACTGGATGTATGAGAGTGTGAAGATGTACAGAAAGGAGCACAATATGGCTTTTGAGTATACATCTTGGTGGTCTCAGACAGCACTAGCTAAGGGCTAGCTATATAGCTATAAGGACCTTATAGACTGCAGGTCATTCTAAACTAATGGTGTACTGGAGAGTTGGTGCAGTGGGATGGGAGGAGGCTTTCCATAGGCTATTGCTGCGACACCACCAAATGTATTGTGTGGCATAAAATGTAGGGATGGTCAGGAAGCTTCCTGTTAAGCACCTGTGTGATTACTAGAAAATTTTGATACAAGCTAAACAACCCAAAAAAGCTGAATCAGTGTCTCTATTGTTAGAAAAATCTGAGGGAAGATGTAATCGTATGTGTTTCTATTTATGAACTCAAGGTGCCTTTGACACATTTGGTCTCTGAAGTTTAGATTCCTCAAAAGGAGCAGTCTGAGATATGTTTCAGTGTATGCAATCTGTGCATACATACTGTATGCTTATAAGTTTCCAAAGCGATAAATGAAAAATGACAACTGCAAAGCTACAGAAGTCTAAAGTGATTTTGGATATGATGGAGACATCAGTGACACTTCATGTAATTTAGTCTTTGACTGATGAAAGCTGTCAGCCACTGAGGAACCATTGGGAAAGATGTCACCAAGCAAATTGGATTTTCACAACATTGTTAGTTTGTGAAATAACTTAACGGAATAGATTTTTTTTCCTGAAAGCTCTTAAAAATGGAAATCATTAAAAAGAGTATAATCATTAAGAATTAGATAAAACATGAAAGTCTGAGTAAAATAACATAAGAGGATATTTCAGACTCGGAAAAAATTGAGTATATTTATTTTATTATTTATAATACACAAATACACAGAGCAGCACAGTGTATGCTCTGAAGAAAACCCACAAGAGGCTTCTGGGTATTGAAACAAATATGTCAAAAGCCATTCATTCCTCATTTAACATTGGGTTATTTGACATCTCCTTATTTGTTGTTTGACAGCTTCATTGGGTGCATTCCACCAAATAGTATATGATTTCTGTTGTGTCAAGTTTTACTACTTTTAAACAGACTTAAAAATAGAACTTAAATTTTTAACAGTGATGTTGGAGGAAG